TATGCTAAAAATATATTTTTTAACTTGTTGCCGCCGGGCGCATGGCGTTTCACAAACACATCTTGTTTTCGGTGTGTCTGGGTCATTATTCAGATTATATATTAGAGGAACTTGGATCTAGTTTTGCAAGTAGGTATAAAACTTAATACTTATCGTTCCCTTTCAAAGGAAGAGATTCTTCAAAATCATCTATTAGTTTTCAATATCTTTAATATTTTCAACAATCAAATTGAATTTGACCTAATACACGTATACAGGATTTCGATTAAATTACAAAGATACATAGAAGATTTCAGAAATTGTTTTCACTAAAATGTTAAGGTAATTCGAATCTGTCGTGAATTTAAGGACAGATGATACAAACGAAAAAATGGATTCCTTGATTGGTATATATTTTTGACCTTACTTCATTGCAAATGATGCATATAATAAATTTCTAGAAAATAAGAAAATTGTATGACGTTCAAATTCTACCCTTCTAAAATCATCCTTATTATTCTATACAAATATTTTTTTCTCTTCAATGTCCATTTCTGTGCAACTTCGAACAAAAAAATAAAAACTACGCGGTAAAACATATTGATTTCATTCATTAAAACATGACACAAGTTGTTGTTTTCAATTTTTATGACAAAAGTTTGTTTGTATCATCTGTCCTTGATTGGAAATTTGAAAGATAGGTACCTTCAGATAAAGGACAATTTTTTGTTTTAAGAGTCATCAAAATTCATAGATATTAATGCGTTCGTTTCTATGGCAAATATATCTGAATATGCCCTGGTTTCAAAAGTAAAATATGGGGAAAAAATTCAATGCCAGTACAAAAGTGACAAAAACACTTACAAATTATAATCACAATTTATTTTTCCAGTCTATTCGATCTTTGGTGGTTATTTAAAACCTATTGAGATAACAAATCACTCATCTAACAGTATTCAACTCATATGTGAATTAATTTAATTTATAGACATTCCTTTAAATGTTATAAACAGTCCTTATAAATTGCTGAATAAATGGAGACCGCGTTTTCGTGAATGTTGCAGGTTAACCTCAGAGGTCGAGAAATGTTGTTTGAAAGCTAAAAGCCGAGGCGTTAGCCGTTATTTAGAGACCGAGGAGGTTATCCTGCATCATTTACGAGAACAAGGACTTTATTTCTATTCTACCAAGACCTAAAATACACATGATTGTTTCCTCTATAGAGAAACAAATTTCTCAATTACGCTGTTCTATTTAAAGGGTTTTTATCATGCATCATGATTTTTTGATATAATAAAGTTTATTTGCTATTAAAATCATCCATCATTATTTTCTTGTCAGAAAATTAATATATTGCTTGTTCCAGAGATTCAAAGTTTAAATTTCTTAATATGCATATTTTGATCGCCGATGTTGCACGCCATTGCTCTGACATCATTGGTGTCAGTCCTGGTCAAGCGAAGTACTTATTGTGTTTACACACCGGCTCAATGGCTTTGTCTAGAAACCCTACTAGAAAATAAATAAATTATAACTGGTTAATTGATTAGATAATTACTTTATTAGTGGCGTTTATTAATTCTTATTAATTATATAATCTATACAAATATTTTTCACTTTAAATTCCATTTTGTGCAAATTTGAATAAGAAATTAAAAACTACGCGGTGAAATTGATTCATTTTATTCATTTAAACATGACCCAAGGTGTTATTTTCAAATACTTTGACAAAAGTTTGTTTGTATCATCTGTCCTTAAATATACATTTCGCTGTCATTAAGTATTTGCAAGGATATAGTGTAGATTATTCATTTTTCGCGAGTTCTTATCAACGCGAAATGGCTCTTTCTCGTCAAGTTGCGAGAACAATAATTCGCGAGTGGGTGATTGAACAAGAGATTAAACGTTGATTTCAGCAGCATGAAAATAAAAGCGAATTATTTAATTTCGCGGCCGTTTCTTCTCGCAAAACTACCTCGTAATTTATTTTTCGCGCATATTTAGGACTCTACAGTAGCCTATATATCTAAAAGACGTTTTGAAACTTAGACGAACCATAACTGATAAAAAAATTGTTCCACTGACCTAATTTTGAAGAGTAAAAAGGTATTCCTTTGCTATTTGCAAATCGTTATGATAGAGGACTGTTAATAACAAAGAAGTTTAATTACCTGGAATAACCCTAAGTCTGTAAGACATTGTTTCAGTAGCATGAATGCTCTCTTGGGATATTAGGAAACAGATTACAAAAATGAATTATTTACACGAGTTTTCCAATTCGAACATAAGTATATTTCGTGCAGAAATGTCGACATTATTATTTCATGAATCATATACATGTATGTTTCTTACTTTTATAAAAATGGAAGCATTGAACTTTGAAATTAACATTTAAAAAAAATGACTCCTTGGTTTAAAGGGACATGGACACAATTTCAATTGAATTTTAAAACCAAAGTTAATAAATGTTTACAATTCCTAACTAAGGCATCATCTAATGATCAGCAAAAATTTGAAATCTTTTGTTGACTAACAAAAGATAATAAAAAAAATCAAGGTTATTTATAACGTAAACAAGACTCGTGCCTTGTTTCTGTTTACACATACAAAAATATTATATTTAAAACAAAATGAATTCAGCAAATCACTAGAAACTTCTAATCCTATTTAAAATTAACCTTTTTATTGAAATTATACGCTTTGGATTCTACATATACATGAACATATATATGAATATTAAGAAATGTATTTTAAAAAAAACATGACAGCGACTCTGTTTACATAACGAAAGTTTATAGCTTTAAATCTGTCTTGTATGTCGAGAACTGAATTTCAATTTTTTTGACGATCATTAATCATAAAAAGACCTTAGTTAGATATTTGTAAAAATGAAAAAATAAATTTGAAATTTTTTAGCTGAAACTATGTCCATGTTCCTTAAAGTACACCGTACCTATAATAGTTTTTAATTATAACCCATTATAGGTGTTATGGAAGAAGATAACGTTTTCTTGCTTTTACTTCCAGACATTTCAGAAAAATGTTTGCATGTAAAAGTTTATGACATGTGTTTCCGTGAAATTTCTTTACTTTTTGATGTTCGAAGCATAGATAACAGCTGACTCCGGGTAATGTTTCATACCTTATCATTGTACTTGTGATTTCAGGCTTTAAACTATACTTGCATTTTCTAAAACCGTTTTAATTATAAAAGCTGTATTTGATTGATTGATTGTATACTGTTAAACGTCCCTCTTCAGAATATTTCACTGATATGGAGACGTCAACATTGCCGGTGAAGGGCTGCAAATTTAGGCCTATGCTCGGCACTTACGGCCTTTGAGCAAGGAGGGATCTTTATCGTGCCACACCTGCTGTGACACGGGGCCTCGGTTTATACGGTCTCATCCGAAGGACAGCCCCATTTAGTCGCCTTTTACGACAAGCAAGGGGGTACTGAGGACCTATTCTAACCCGGATCCCCACGGGGTATAAGCTGTATTTGAACAAACTATTTAATTTAATTAAATTCAGAATAGTTGCGCTACGACATAAGCATTTTTCTTTTACATTTGAAACATGAAACATTTTATTTATGACCTGTTTATTACTGACAATAAAATTTTACAACATTTAGCAAGTCCAAAATTGACTTAAGTATCCTTACATTTTTTCGAGTCATGAAATTTGATAACATTGGGGTTAGTATAAAATATTTGGAACACGTTTTTTTTTCTTCGATCTCTCTTGAAAAAAGCACAATCTAAAAGGTAGTGGAATTCATCTCCTAAATTGTAAGTGGAACAAAGATCACAAATACTCTATATTTGAGTCCTCCTTTTTCTGACCCCCCTTTTGTAAACTTTTCCGTCATTTACTATAATAAATGACATATTTCACTTCAAAATGATTTAATTTGTTTTTGCCTGTTTTGTTAAAAAATAAGCTCTTCGTTTTTTTTTTAATTTGAACTTTGAACATTTAAACATTTAAGGTAAAAATCGTAAAAAGACTGTTACACCTGTTTGGAAATTTGAAAGTGTAGGATTTTGAACTAAATTATTAAATTCCAATATGCGAAAGAAGTTTTAGTTTTTGAAATTAAGAAATTTTTAATAATTTAAAATTGCAAAACTCTTAATCATTTTAGAAGTTTGAATTGTTAAGTGTTACATATTTGGATAATCTGTCAAAAAGAAACTCATGGTTACTAACCAACAAAACTTATTAATAAACATGAAGACTTCAAGTTCTCTATCCACAACTTTTTTTAATTTCATATGTAGAGTGTAGTATAACAAGACCCTTATCCATTGATGAAACAATTTTAAAGAGTTTTATTTAAAGCCATAATATTGAAAGTTCTATGGTCGATTTGTATCGACCTTATTAGCAGTAAGGCCATTATCTAAAAACATGTTCATAGTTGCCCACGGGTTTTCCCGTTTACCAAAAAATAAAACAAGTAAAAGGCGGTTTTGACCAGTCGACAGGGGATTCATAGATCTCTTTTACACCTAATCCTTCCTCTCCAAAATATTTTAGAGGTCATTGTTAAAAAAACTGTTAAAAAACTTGCTCTGCACTATATTTATACCCCCGCTTGATTTCCGTCCGTCTGTCCGTCTGTTACGCTTGTGAAATTTAATAAAACTTTCACAGAATCTTTATTACATATTGCCATTTTGCACCTCCTATTTTACTTTATTTTTCGACACGTCTTTTAGGTTTCCCGTAGCAAAACATGAACATTGTCATTATATGTTTACCTATGACGTCACATATAGAAGCTTCTGGATAACATTTGATAGGACGAGTTATTCCTCTTTACACATTACCGTAAAACAATATATAGCAACACATGAACATTATGGGAGGCGGGGGGTATCATTTAGTGAGCTCATTGCTCACAGTACCTCTAGTTGTTTCGTTTCATTTGACCTTTAAGGATGATGACTGTTTAATATCTCCAAATTTCATACACATAATGCATATCAGGATTTTTTGTTTAAATATTTCAGCTACATCCACTGATTGTAAGGATCTTCTTGAATATGGTTCCGGTAATACAGGGGTGTATGAGATTTATCTCTACAAGGACAGCTCCCGTCCTGTCAGGGTGGAGTGTGATATGGACATAAATGGCGGAGGGTGGACGGTATTTGACAATCTAATCAAAATAAAATGTTAGATCCGCTCGCATACTCACTACACTAACATCTAACAAAATCCCATAGAGGGTCACGTCAGAGGTCAAATTCTATCAACCAATCAAATCGTTGCCTGTAAAATCATCGTATATTATATTTGTTGAGTGGATAATTATAGAGTTGTTTCGAATTTGACCTCTGACGTGACCCTCTATGGGATGTTGTCAGATGTTAGTGTAGCGAGTATATAGCGGATGTAACATCTAATTTTAACTAGATTGGGTATTTTATGGTTTATATATTTATTACACACTTACGAAACAAATGTTTATCAGATTAATAACTAAATAAATATTTTTCCAGGTAATCCAAAAGCGAGTTAATGGATCTCTGAGTTTTGATAGGAACTGGATAGAATATAAGTATGCTTTCGGTTCACCGGAACAGGATGTATGGGTTGGTAAGTGGGATGGTAAATGTATTAAAAAAAAGAACTTTCAGTAGCTTTAAAATTTGACAAAAAATTATTGTCAGTGGCAGATAGAAAAATGGAAGCGTATCAAAAATGTTATTTTAGGACCGAGAAGTATGAATTTGTGTTTTAAAGGTACTTGGACACAGATTTGAAGTTAATATTTTCTCCATAATATCACGAATTATATATTCTAATAGCATTTCACACAAAAATTAATTAAAAATCTTATGTCATTTAAAAGTTATTAAAACTTTAAATTTTTTGGCGGGTTTGATTGACTCATCCTGACACTTTCACATATTTAACTTTATTCTTAATCCTTCAGAAAAGTGGCAATCTTGTTGTGTATTAATGAGAAATATTAAAACTTTAATCCATAAAAATAATTTTATTCATAATAAAAATGTTAGAAAACAAAACACCTTCACAAGTATCGTCATTCCGAGCTAAGTCCGTGTGTGCAAATCGATCACACTCGTGTTATGTACACAGTTTTTGTAAACAAGGCACGAGCTCTGTTTTTATTTATGTTTAAATTTCACCGGGAGCGTTCTGAATCGTCACAGTCTGCTTACCACAACTACACGGACTGAGAATATATTGTGTGTTTGTTTTGCTTTCGAACATGTCTACTCTGAATTTTTTTAATTATAGTATCAATATTTTGCATTCATACACAACAAGATTGCCACTTTTCCTAAATATTAAGAGTAAAATTAAAATTTGTGAAAGTGTAAGGATGTGTCAATCAAACCCGCCAAAACAATTAAAGTTTGAATAACTTTAGAATGAAATAAAATTTTAAAGTAATTTTTGTGTGAAATGCTATTAAAATATATACTTCGTAATATTATAGAGAAAAAAACAGATTATATTAACTTCAAATCTGTGTCCAAGTACCTTTAAACGATAACCGTGTATTTATCGTGTTTAATTTATATTTAAAAAAATAAAAAAAAATGGTTTTAATATGACCAAACATTAACATCAATTTCAATCAATCATACAGCCAAAGAAATCAATTGATCTTAATACAGGGAATGACGTAATACATCAGTTAACAAAAGAAAACAACTCGTTCCTCCATGTGTCGATCACTCTCCAGAATGGAACAACGCTGTAAGAAATGTACCATCGATTCTCCGTCTCCGATGAAAGAGACAATTACAAACTCTTTCTTGCAGGACCTGCAACGGGGACCCTAGGTAAGTCAAAGGTAGAACAAGAGAGAAAGATTGATTGATAGTATATTGTATAACGTCCCTTTAAAGAATTTTTCACTCATAAGAGACGCCACACCTTGCCGTTGAAGAGCTGCAAATTTTGTCCTATACTCAACACTCAGGGTCATTGAGCAGAGAATGATCTTTTCCGTGCCAGCACCTCGGTTTATACGGTTTCATCCGAAAGACTGGTCTCCACGTCCCACGGTGGAATTCGAACCCGCGATTAAGGATCAACTCCTTACTTCGCCACTTTAGAGCAGACGATCCAACCACTGCGCCACGCGGGTGTCCCAAGAGAGAAAGGATCGAGAGAGATGAGAGAAAATATTTGAGAAGGAGGCGAATGAAGACGATTTACTGTTGCAATCACGACTATATTAATTTTTTATATACATATTATAGAATCGAAACCAGTTTAATGTCTTTTTGTTGAATCAATATTATATATACAATTATGCAGTATCGAGTGATTAAGACTGCAGATTGTGCAGGTCTATCCTTTTCTATCAAGGTTACGACCCCGCGGGGGCTTTATAGGTAGTGAACTTCTTTGCATGTTACATCTGCGAGGCCTTAACTTATTGTGTACATGTGTAAATATATGCGCAGTGTATTGTTGTGTGAGAAATCATGATCTGCCTGTGATGTAGTTCAGTAATGTTACACCCCCGCTTGAAAAGCGGAAGGGTAAACAGTAATCGGAATGTGCGTCCGTCCATCCGTCTTTTGGGCTTAGGGGTACGTACCCATTTCTTATCCGCAACTCCTCTAATATCACTGCATGAAATTTGATGAGACTTTCACAGAACCTTTATTACATATTGCCATTGTGCACTTCCTATTTTATTTTTTAAACAGACACAAATCTTGGGTTTCCCACAGCAAACATGGACACCACCATAATATTCATATGAGAGGCGGGGTGTATAATTTAGTGAGCTCATTGCTCTCGGTACCTCTAGTTGTGATTAATTATCAATTGTCTCCGTGATTAATTTTCTGTAATCCTGCAGGGGACAGTATGTTAGACACCGGTTATCCTGATAACTTCGACCTGTCAGGGATGTATTTCAGTACTGCTGACCGCGACGATGACAGGAATGGATTTAACTGTGCCCGGGATGAAGGGGGCTGGTGGTTTAATAACTGCTACATCGCCTTCCTGAACGGCCCGTGGTCCGGCTGGCCCTGGCCCTGGAATCCTACTGTCAAGTTCAGTGGGGATCTGAAGGACTCCAGGATGCTAATCAAGCGCCGCTAGGTAGGACGAATCTCAGGAAGCTTGGACTTTCAGTATGACATGGCATTCTCGACATTTAAAAATTAGCATCTGAGATTTACAAAGAATTCATTCACCGTTGAAATATACATGGGATAGAAATTCGGACAAAAGGCCAATCAGTGTATCGAATAACCAATAACATTGTCTTGTCCTGCACAGAGACGTGGTTTAAACGCGCTAATTACGTAGCGCTGAGAATGCCACGCCTTACTGAAAGTCCTAGCTTACTTGAGAATTGTTCTAAATATCTGAGTATCATTCTTAATATACAGTGTTTATTTTTCGATATTTTCATGTGTAATTCATTTTAAAATCTTAAATGGCGGTTTGAAGAGGGTGAATTATAGTTTTCCGGTTTAAATTTATTTTTGTATTTGTTTATTCCTTACAGATGCAGATTAAATTTAACGAAAAAAAAAAAGGAAAAGGGGATGGACGATTCAATTGAATGTTATTTAAACACATCACACTGATGAAGCAATGCTAGTTAAACGCTATTATTATTATTATTATTAATAAATGTGTTTTATTTTTTCTGTATTTAAACAGATGTTTCTAAATAAAATGAGGCAAATGACACAATGATATTTTTAAGGAAGTGGTGTGGTCGGGGTGGGGGTTTAAGGTTCGGATTTTCATTGCCTGACGTCAAGGCATGAGGCTGTATAAGGATTAATATTTCCATGATCCAAATCTATGCGATAATACCTAGAGAGTTATATTTTTTGCAAGCTGATTTACATTGGAATTCTTTACCTGCATTTTTAAAGAAACAATTTTCAGGAAAAAGAATATTACTGATGCAATATACTTCAGTGTTTACTTCCTTTACTTGTTTTTGCACGGAACAGATTTTTCCATATGATTCACCGTTTAAACATGTCCTTGTATCTTTTTTTCTGAATTTTTAAACTGCCTGATAAATGAATCCATTTACATTCTACGAAAGGGGTGACCACCTCTTTTTGTGCCAAATGCCACTAGCTACATGTAGCTATCATCGCGCTTTTCCCTTGTTCTATAGAATGAATGGGTGTGCTAACTTCCATGAAATTAAATAAAGTTTGTCCTTTTACATGTAACCTCTTTTTAATGCTTCAGAAATTCTATATAATTATAAAAGTTTTATCTCATTCATTTAAACAACATATCGTTCAATATATTGACATGCAACACACGCACACACCTACCCTCACTCACCCTCACACCCGCACACACACATGTACATTTATTTTTATATGTTACATTTATAATTTCTTATAATAACATTTATTCTATTCTAAAGATGAGTCGAATGAAGTGCAAAGGAAAGGAGGGTTCTTCGCAGAAGGTCTATCACCGGACCAGTCAAAAACATCCACTGCTATATGTACTGAAACAAGCAAAGTTACATCGACAGGCATTTATAGTAATCTCATCATTTGAGTCAGAATTGCCTTTAAAATTAATTAATCACTGCATTGAAAAAACCCTGATAATACACTTCGAAAAGTTGACAAAGGGTGAAAGTGTTCCATACAAACGAATCAAATTATCATCCAGGTCACTTTGCTACTATATTAATAAATTTCAGTTTTGCATCACATACAGCCATAGTGTTTATAGACTGGTCACAAACATGTGCTTTTCAAATGATGAACATGTGTACCGTCCATTGCGTCTATAACATGTGGGAAGCCACAATGTCTTGATAAATCATACATACATGTACTATATATGCGTATTTGTTTTTTTTTTATTCTCACCAATGGGCATTTTTGCAGTCCCTGAAACGTTCTATTTTCCCACCTGAACGGTGAACGAACGCTGAACGAACGGTGAACGAGAACGCAGAGCGAAAGGTGAGTGAACAATGTTTGAACGCTGAACGCAACTTGTGTGACCGGTGAACAGTGAGTGAACGCAGAATGCGAATGGAGCGCGAACTCCAGCGCAAGGTGAAGGATGAACGAACGAAGAACGCTAGATGAACGATTTATTCGGAATGCCTCCGATCCTTTCATAAAATGTAAATAAACAATAGATAAATAAATAATAACAGCATTTTTTTTCTGCATATACATATGTTTTAAATCGATATATCAATAACACGATTTTAAATGCGGTAAAAGAAGTGTATTTCTTACCGAACGCGTGTAGTATAAATATAAAATTAATCTACTTATATAGTGGATATGCTTATTCTTTTAACTAATAAAATAATGGACTGTAGAAAATCAAACTATAGAATGAATAAATTACATTGTACCAGGTTGAAATAACTATACATGTATTTCCGTGCCTAGACGATTCTGGGTAAAATAACGAATTTTTTTCATTACAAATGTCTGTTGACGTATTGCATAAATACAATCGTATTTTAAATTTCAATGCAAAATATTAAAATTTTATCTGTCATTTTTATTCTTTGATGATGATTATTTTAGCCAACTTCTACATGTAGATATTTCCAGATAGGCAACCAAATTGTTTGTTATGGATTACATTTTCAAAACTAAAAAAGCAATGTGCTGTCACAGATTTTATTGAACAGAGAAATGTACGCCAGAGAGAGAGAGAGAGAAAAAAAAACCTCTCCATTCTCATATATCTGTTGTATAGTGTCCACAGCCTTCGCCCACATTAATGTTTTGATATGTTGTGTAAAAGTCAATAAAAAAAATAAAATAGAAAAATCATATGTGTCAAAATTATACTTGTACTTTTTTTTCAAAAAAAAAAAACTTTTTTGTCAGGTTTCATTCCATCAGGATGATAATATTGTACGTCAGGTAAGTGCTCCCAAAGGACTGTCTGGTTTTATGTACGAGGGCCGTTCAAAAATTATGCAGACTTGTTGCACAGAAAAAAAAATTGACGACATAATCGAGTAAATTGTCGCAAATCATATAAAAGAATATTTACTTATATGGTCTCAAAATTTTCATATAAGAATATTGTAAATTGGTATCAATCTTAGGTAATTCATTAGGACATATCACTAAATCATGGAGCGGCAAAATCTTCGACGTCACAGGTATTATAAAAATATAAGTTTTCATTTTCTCAACCTTTTCCCAAGAGTTATGTACAGACAGTTTGAGTAACCTTATCTACTCAAGATCCATACACCATTTCTTGTCAAGTTTAAAATTTATAAAACGAAAAAAACATATTCTTTTTTTGTTTTAAAATCAAAAAGTGCAGGTATTTATGAGATATAGTGAGACATTGGTCACTTTTAATCCCGTTCTTTACAGTCTGGATAAGTTTTCGTCCTTAATCTTCTTCCCGTCCTCCCGTACAGCCTTTTTACAGATGTCTAATGGTCTAAAATTCCAATTTGCTATCTGTAGACAAATGCCACAAATACTCTAGTTTACTAAATGCTTTAATTCGCATATTTTGGGTTTATGCTAGCGATATCTCGAGCATTACAAATAATAAAACAAAAAATTGGTGTTCCATGAATTTAGAAGACGTCATTTTCACAGTTATTTTCATAGTCATGGCTTCAGAGAAAAATCACGTTACTTCCATTAGAACTTCATACATCACGTCAGAAATCGAAATGCATAATAATAGAACAATATAAAGAAAAATTAGAGAAAATTGTCGAAAAATATTGCGAATTATAGAAAAATAATGAATAAACTTTGGATTCTGCATGTTTTCGTTTCATTTTTTTGTCGTGCATCGTACCTCTCTATCAGCAATATCAACACAGCAATAATATTAGGAGAATTTTTTAATAATACAGAAATGTTGACCAAAATGTATCAAAATCTTCGAGATACATATTTCTGTGAAATTTCATTACTTTATGACGTATGGAAGAGTAAATAATAGCAGAGTCTGCTTAATATTTGAACGGCCCTCGTAGTATTGAATACATGTGGAAACTGTCCCTTCGCAATTTCTGTGAATCCAAAGATTTCAGCAATGTTATCTAATGATCGAGTCAATAAAGCTGATGTTGCACTTCTGTACATTAAGGCACATCAACTTTGAACCATTCATTATGACACCAAGAAGAATCCCGTTTTCATACAAATAGTTCATGATTGGATAACTGTCATATCCCTAAAATAAATTATGACAAATGACTTTGTTGTCCTCTGAAAACAACCACTAACAAAAATTATTTCGTGTATCTGGACCTTGAAAAATGTTCTTTGTTCATTTTAGCCACAAGTTTGGCAAATACTATCAGCATTTCAGCTTTTCCGATCAACATTTGTCCGTTGTCTGTCGTTGACGTCGTTGTCGTCGTCGTCGTCGTTGTAAACTTTTCACATTTTCATCTTCTTCTCAAGAACCACTGGGCTAATTTCAACCAAACTTACTACAAAGTATCCTTGGGTAAAGGGAATTCAAGTTTGTTCAAATGAAGGGCCATGCCCCTTTCCAAGGGGAGATAATTAAGAATTAGAGAATATATAAATGGCATTTTTAAAGAAAATCTTCTTCTCAAGAACAACTGGGCCAGGAAGGATGAAACTCATGTGGAATTATCCTCAGGTAGTGTAGATTTAAGTTTGTTCAAATCATGACCCCGTGGGTAGGGTGGGGTCATGTGGCCGATAAAAGTTTTACATAGGAATATATAGGGAAACCTTTTAAAATCTTCTTTTCAAGTACTTCAAAGCCATGCTTAGTGATATTTATAGGGAATCATCCTCAGGTAGTGTAGATTCTTTTTTTTTTATCTTTTATTACACAGTTCCCAACAATACCCATTTACAATTGCCAGTTAACCCGGGTATTTAGGATAACCAACATAAAAACAACAAAGAAAAAGAAAAGTACAAAATTAGTCATTATAACAAATTTGTTAAAAGTTTTACTAGGTCTTTAAACATACTAGTTTTTGACAAATTTAACATGAAATCTATATCTTTTTCTAATGAATATCTAATGCTTTTTTCTAACATGAACTTCTCTTGTATAGTATTTTCTATTCTGCTTTCCATTTTGAATTTATATATTTTATATGCCAAATATGATATAATAGTATAATAAAAAGGAATTCTTGAATTTGTTTTCAAGTAGAACCCTTTAACAATATATTTCCATTGCATATCATAGTTAATAACAATATTCAACTTTTGCCATACAACTTTTACATTATCACAATTAAAAATTAGATGTTTTATATTTTCATTTTCAATTCCACAAAATTCACATTTTGCATTTTCTCTTAATTTACATTTTTGTAAAAAAGAATTACAACATAGAATATTATTCAACAATTTATAGTTAAATTCACTTAGACGTTTATCATACATGAGTTTGATTTTATTTCTATAAATGTTACACCAGTATTCTTTACTCACACAAAAGTTTCTACCTAATATTGATTGATAACATGGATATTTAAACTTTTTAGACAACATATTCTCATAGAAAAACTTACATTTTTTATCTGTAATACAATTAAAACCATTGTTAAAATTGAAAGAATTTACAGAAGTTGTCTTGGTAAAAATACAACACTTCATATCAAACATGTAACTCTGTTTCGTTAATACTTTTTTTAGAATCTTGTACTCACACAACCAGTTAGATTTATTTATCAAAGTATTTGAAATTTCTTGTAATGTTTTAATGTTACCATTTTCATCAAAGAGATCTTTCGTATACAAAATATTACTTGCAATCCAATTTTTAAAACATATTGTTTTACTTTTAAATTGGTATAAATTGTTATTCCAAAGTGGTTGTTGTGCAAATTTGACATTTGATAAATTTGATATTTCTATTTCCTTTTTACATTCATTGAAATAACAGAATATTTCTTTATAAAAAGTAGACAGGTGAGAAATAAGTGAAAAGTTTTCGAGTTTTCTTTCAGACAATGTAAGTAAATAATTAATGTCTATATTCATTTCATTCAGGTATCCAACATGCCTTTAAGGCCTTTAATTTCAGTTCAATATCAACTAATCCTATCCCCCCTTCTTCTTGTTTGCCTATAACAGTGTCTCGCTTAATTCTATCTCGTTTGTTCCATATAAAATTGAATACACTACTTTTTAATTTTTTTATCAACTCGTGGTCTGGAATCGGTAATATGGAGCCAGCATATATTAATTTTGGAAAAGCTAAAGAATTAACTACACAGGACTTTCCAAAAACTGTTAATTTTCTTTTTTTCCATGATTCAAATAGTTTTTCCATGTCTTCATAAATTTTAATCCAATTCAAGTTGTAGCATTGATCCTTGTTATGACCAATAAAAATACCTAAGCAGCGAACAGCATCATTAGTTACATTTATACCACACACATTTGAGTGCCTATCCTTGAGACTACCTAAAAGTATACATTGTGTTTTATTCAGATTAATTTTTGATCCAGCATGGTTGCAAAAAGTTTGAACACTTTCAATTGCTGTTTCTAATGAGGATATATCTTTTAAAGCTAAAGTTATGTCATCAGCATGTTGTAGATTTTTTATTTCTGGAGAAGTTGTATTTAGTTTAATACCTTTGATATGTTCATTACTTTTTATTTTTATTGCTAATATTTCTGCGACAAATAAAAATAGCAAGGCTGAAATGGGACACCCTTGTCTTATGCCTCTAGACATAGAACAAGTTTTGGAAATCCAACCATTATTTTTTACTTTAAAAATTGGGTTGGTGTATAAAATTTTTATCCATCTGATAAAGTTTTCACCAAAGTTAAATTTTTCTAGTACTTTAAATAAAAAATTCCATTCTATCGAATCAAAAGCTTTTTCAAAATCTATAAATAACAAAAGTCCTTCACTATTATTTTCCATGCAATGTTCATAAATATCTAAAACAGTTCTAGCATTAATTCCGATATAACGTCCTTTAATATATGCTGATTGTTCATTACTTATTAATTGATCTATAACTTTTTGTAATCTTCTTGCAAATATGAAAGCTATTATCTTATAGTCAGTATTTGTTAAACTTAAAGGTCGATAGTTCTTTAAATCATTCTTGTCTCCTTTTTTAAATAAAACTGTAATAAGAGATATGCGTTGTGAAAAAGTCAACTCTTTATTGTCAAAAACGGATAGCAGTACTTCGTAAAATAAGGAGCTAATAGTGTTCCAAAAACATTTATAAAATTCACATGGTAAACCATCTAAGCCATCAGTTTGAACACTTTCAATTGCTGTTTCTAATGAGGATATATCTTTTAAAGCTAAAGTTATGTCATCAGCATGTTGTAGATTTTTTATTTCTGGAGAAGTTGTATTTAGTTTAATACCTTTGATATGTTCATTACTTTTTATTTTTATTGCTAATATTTCTGCGACAAATAAAAATAGCAAGGCTGAAATGGGACACCCTTGTCTTATGCCTCTAGACATAGAACAAGTTTTGGAAATCCAACCATTATTTTTTACTTTAAAAATTGGGTTGGTGTATAAAATTTTTATCCATCTGATAAAGTTTTCACCAAAGTTAAATTTTTCTAGTACTTTAAATAAAAAATTCCATTCTATCGAATCAAAAGCTTTTTCAAAATCTATAAATAACAAAAGTCCTTCACTATTATTTTCCATGCAATGTTCATAAATATCTAAAACAGTTCTAGCATTAATTCCGATATAACGTCCTTTAATATATGCTGATTGTTCATTACTTATTAATTGATCTATAACTTTTTGTAATCTTCTTGCAAATATGAAAGCTATTATCTTATAGTCAGTATTTGTTAAACTTAAAGGTCGATAGTTCTTTAAATCATTCTTGTCTCCTTTTTTAAATAAAACTGTAATAAGAGATATGCGTTGTGAAAAAGTCAACTCTTTATTGTCAAAAACGGATAGCAGTACTTCGTAAAATAAGGAGCTAATAGTGTTCCAAAAACATTTATAAAATTCACATGGTAAACCATCTAAGCCAGGGGATTTATTGTTTTTCATATTAAAAACAGCTTCTTTACATTCGTCTATTGTAGGCATTGCATCACATTTTTCCTTCTCTTTATTTTCTAATTCTGGACAATTAACATTTTGTAGATATTCCGATATTTCAGTATTATCAATTGATTTACTACTGTAAAGGTTTTCGTAAAAAGTGCACATTTCGTGCAATATTTCAGAATTTGAAGAAAATGTCTTAGTTTCATTTCGTACTTCAAAAATTGTATTGTTAGTTTGGTTTTTCTTTTCTAATCAAAGGAAAAAACTTGTGTTTCTTTCGCCCTCTTCTATCCATTGTGCTTTAGATCTTATTTGTGCGCCTTTTGCTAATTCGTTTTGCATTTCATCTAAATCTTTTTCAAATTTTCTTTTTTCGTTCATATTGATTTGAGCGCTAGGAAGATTTTCAATTTCATCAATTTTCTTTTCAACTAACTGTATCTTCATTTTTATGTTGTGTTTTGATTGTTTAGCATAATGTATTGAGAAATCGCGAATCGTTACTTTGAATAATTCCCATTTTGAAATTGAATCCAGCGACTTATCTAATTCATTAAAAATTTTGATGACACCTTCTTTATATTCAGTCTTATCTAAATGAGATACGTTTAATTTCCAATATCCGGAGCCGCGTTCTTGTTTGCTAAAATCCACAGATGTTTTTAGGTATCTATGATCGCTCATTCTAGTATTTTTATTATGTGTACCTGGTATACGTCTTATAATTATATTTTTCATGAAATTCAAGGTATCGCTACTTACAAATACATAATCTATTCTACTTTTAGGCAGTTATCTGAATCACACCAGGTAAAACCATCTCTCTCAGGATGTTTATATTGCCAAAGGTCTACAAGATCTAATTGATTTAAAATTTCTAATAAGCGCTTTTGCGATTTATCACTTTTCTTTTCAAAGCTACAATTAAAATCTCCACAGAGAAATATTTTACTTCCTTCAGAGGAATACAATGAAGTAAATGTTTTAAGTCTGTTGAAAAAGGTTATTCGAGCATTTTCACTATTAGGTGCATATACATTAATAAAAGTAATTAAGTTGTCATCTACCTTGACATTAACTAAAAGTTTTCTTGCATCTTCAGATTTGTGAATATTAAGAATATTAACATTAAGTTCTTTACGAAATAGTATGGAAACCCCTCTACTATATGAGGAATCAGAAAAAGCATGTATGGATATACCTTTCCAATTTGAGTTATATTTTTCTTTAAATTTATCTATGTAATGAGTTTCTTGTATCAATACAACGTCGAATCTATTTTGTTCTAACCAAAGATAAAACTTATTCCTTTTTTCATACAAATTCAACCCTCTGACATTGACAGATATTATGTTTAAATTACACATGAGGTAGTTCTACATTTCTAAGTAAATAAGTTTAAATACACGTACCTAGTATGTAATAGTACAAAGTTCAATTCAATTATATACAGTGTCTGGATTGAGGATTTTAGATGTTTATTTATCCCCTTCAGAGCTCTCAGAATCGGCATTGCATCCGGAAACGTCACTATCGGATGCAGTTCTAAGATCCTTCAGCATCTGAACGATATTTCGCTGTCTAGACTGTTCACGATGTGCTTGTTTTTGTTTCCGACTAATGCTGTCGCTTAATTTCCTTTTTCGAACTTTTTTGGAGATTTTCTTCATCATGACACCGAGGGTATTAGATCCCGGCCAGTGATCCGGTTTGGTATTTAGTGTTCCCGTACGATCCAGTCCCGATCCCCACTCGTTGTTATAGGTGGCCTCCACAAAGGTTGTGGACTGCTTAGCGGTTCTCAGCTTTTCTTAGAAGACTGGGACTTGAACACACTTGTTTTCAAGGATATCCTCCATGACCTCTTTTTTTGTCGACTCCCATTGTTCATTTGTTTTAATGTTTTTCCCAAGACGCAGGGCAGAGAGGGCATCATCTGTGTCTTTAATGGTGTTTGCTGCGTCCAAGTCGCCACAACGTAGTGCTTTTGTATATTGAAAAGCATGTTCAGCAGACTTATGTTTGACGCCACAAAAATTCAACTCGCACGGAAAAAAATTTGAAAGGACATCATCTGCTCCACAAAAGGGTATAACGTGTTTCTGAGGTTCATAGTGGGGGCATGATTTGTCGCCAGGGGCATGTCCAGGCTGTTTGCAGACTTTGCAACATGTAGCTGATGTGCACCTTGATCTTGTGTGGTTAGTACCCCAGCAGTTGGTACAAACCAGGTTACCTGTTTTCTTACGTTGTCCAAAATGAAATATTTTACATTGGACACCCGCACAATAATTTGTTCTAGGTAGGCTTTTACCATCAGGTAGGGGTTCAATGAACATGAATCTTGTACCATTCAAAATACTTGTCATTCTGTTAGTTTCGGGGTGTCGAATCTTTTCGTATAAGATCTTGCTAACAAGTTTGACACATAATTTGTCAAGCATTTCGTGGACAGAAGAATCGGACACAGATAAAGGAAGACCGCATATTCTAAGTTTAAGTGTTTTCTGATCTGCGGATTTTGCACCAGATGTATATGGATTTGTGTCATAGAACTGGTAAGAGATACTGTTAATCTCCATACCCTGTATTAAAAGTTTGTTTCGGTTTTCCGTATTCTTCAAATAAATGCGCCAGAGATTCCTGTCCAATTGTACACACAGGAGATCATCACCCACAACTCGCTTGATTGGTTCAATCAATTCATAATCAGTGAACTGTTTACCTCCGTCAGACCGCAGGTCACTGTTCCTTAGGTATAACGGTTTACATGTGCGTTCAACCGATAATGAATTAAAGTTCTCCGGGTCGTTTTCATCCATGGCAGTACAATGAATAGGTGAGCGTAACTCACCAGGTTAACTCCAAGTAAACACAATACACTGAATACACTATGTACAAAAAATATTTACAATCCAAGAAAGATTATCAACTTTTTTACACACACACGTTAGGAAACACAATAAGATTCCATATGAAACTTTTTTTTCACAATAAAAAGGTCCCACATAGAATTAATTGTCAAAAAACACAGAGCCCGAGAAGGAACGTCCATCTAGCTCAGTGTCACGTGACTCTTTCAAGTCTTCTTCTTATTCTTTTCAAGTACTTCAAAGCCATGCTAAGTGATATTTATAGGGAATCATCCTCAGGTAGTGTAGATTCTAGTTTGTTCAAATCATGACCCCCTGTGGGGGGGTTAAGTACAAGCCCCCCCCCCTTCAGAAAACTTTCAGTTCTGATCTGATGTGTGCTTTTTCCTAGCTAATTGCGCAGGTGAGCGATGTTGCCCCTTGGCCTCTTGTTAGTTTTGCAATCGTTGCAAACCCTTTTGCTCGACACAGATATTTAGTGTGTGTTTTTTCGTTCCACACCAGGTTTGTTTACAGTTAACACAATATTTTTCCCTGGGCGACTTTAGGTTTCCTTTGCTACACTTTAAAACTTGATCCCGTGTGCACTCAAATCTAAAAAAAAATATGTACACACCTCGATTGTCTTCATCAGAATTGTTTTCGTTGTATTTCTTTGTACTTGGAAACTCTGTAGTGTACTGGTCTTCTTCCTCGCTAAGAAGTTCAGTAACATCTGGTTTCATGAAACATTGATTATTTTCGCCAATATAGTCCTTACATGTGTTGTAAAATTTCTCTCCGCAAATATGATCGCATTTGTGAATAGTTTTGTTAATTGATCTAATGAAATGTTGACACTTGAAGCAAGTTTCACATGTACTTCGACCTTTTACAGGTTTGAATCTGTGTACTTCAAAAAACATTTCATTTGTGAATGATTTGTTGCAATCAGGACAAAACTTCCAGTTTTATGACATATCTGAATGCATTTTTATGACAGCACCTGTAAACGTTATTGCAATAAATTTTCTCTAAATCAATGATTCATGGTTATATCCTTTGTTGCATTTAGTGCAAAGATAACTTTGGCTTAAAAACCCTACAACTTTTGTTACAACATCAAAATGGTCGTCATGACGGAAAAGATATATTTTCTTTTCTGCATCATGTCCTTGGTACACCAAGGAATTGAAAGTGTCTTTTGAAAGTACGTTTATTTTAAAATCTGGAGAAACTTTCTGAAAAAGATTTACATCTTTAACAGTACATCTTAGTATTTTTTAATCAGCTTTTCCATGGAGTTAAATTGCCAGGTATGTTTGAATTTTACACACTTTTCGAATGCTATCCCATTATGCTTGTTTATCAATGCGTGCCATTGCAGTGACTATTGCTAGGGCACACAATGATTTTTTAAATTGTTAATGTGGATGATCCCTCATTCTTCCTTCAACATTTTAGAAAGCTCTGAAAACTTGCATTTTATTCCAACTCCACCAGATGAAACTCGAACGTAGATAATACCGCCATCAAGGGAACAAAGACTTCATAATTAGATTGTAGAATACGTTCCACTTCCAACAAGAAAGTCTCCGACGTCAGCTGAGATAAACGCCTATGTGGTATAGAAATGGGGAAATCCAATTCCGAAGATTGCACTGGTAAACGATAGTCTTTATCCATATATTCAGTTATATCCTTTAATATCGACGTGAAGAGAACTTTCAAACTTCTTAGAATGTTTGGTAAAATTCGAATTTACAACCCATGAAATGAAACCTTGTATCTCATGGAACGGATATTGAACTCCGGCATGTTTTCTTCACCCACTGCTCTGGTGGAGTAACTATCTTCAGAACAATCATATTTAGCAATCCATCGTTTGACTCTTGTTGAAGGTATTTGGTCTAATTTCCTTTTGGATCACCTTCCCCGTTGCAAAGTGATGGTTTTGTTGAAGCAGGTCTAAATTGTCTTTTCTCCCAAACACTTTGTTGCAAACATCACATTCATAATATATGTTGTTCCTTTGCTTCTCTCTGTGCATTTTAATCAATGGTGAAGAATTGCCGACTCGGCGATAAACAATATTCAATCGATCAATCTGTGAATTTTAAGGTTATCTTCTCATGCAAATTTTTTATGCCATGTATTGCATTCGTATAAATATCTTAGGGACCCTATATTTCTTTGTGACCTTTTGCTTGGATTTGAAATGCCGCATTACATTGACTGCAACGATATCATCTGTCAATGGTTACTCTTATAAAAAGAATACCTATTGTCTGACAAATCCCAATTTTAATACCTACTATATCATGATTTGTCAATATTTTGAGATTTTTAAAATGTGAACATTTATCACAGCCGCCGCCGCTGCTGCAATAACACCACCACTATCTAGATCACAAGATACAAAACTAAAGCCAGTATAATTTTAACGGCGGAAGACAAAATGTAATTGTAAGCAAACTAAAAAATAAAGAAATTGTCAATTTAATTAACCCTTTTACTATGATGGCTTTAGGTCCTACAGAACGCGGAGAAACATTTCTTCTGAAACGGTTTCGAAGAGGAGTTCAAGATTTATGCAAACCTTGTCCCAAGCGAATTGTTTGGTTGCACAAATGATAACAACCTCTGTATGATATTATACCCAGTGTTGTTTTGCCAAAGGTTGAATTTTACCAACGAATACCCATCCATCTCGATCAAGATCATTTCTTTGACACTAATGTAAATAACATGATTATCATATATACATGTATGACCTTATGTCACTTTCTTCAAAGGACCCAAGAATCAACGACTTATTTACAGAAGGTAGTCATCATAGAAACCTGTCTGTAATTGCTTTTAACCAAAAAATGTATTTTAAAAAGGATACGACCCAGAGACAAAAGGGAATAAAAATTATTATAAACTCCTACAAAGGAATTTCCAAGATATACGTTTAACTTTACAGCCAATCGTTTCTCGAATACAGATGAGTCAACCATTTTTGTAACAAGTGATCTACCTTATGATGTCATTTTCACATTGTGATGTCACAAACACGGGAAAAAAATTTCCATTACATATGCTATTTATAGAATATGTGTATGACTTTATGTGTGCAAAATTTCATTTTGATTTGAATTGTGGTTTTGTAAATATAGAAGTAGTTCGAGAACTTTTTGATCACCCCTCGTACATCATAGTCCAACACGCTCAAATTCCCCTTTGATAAATTCAGTTTTCAGTGGGATTTCGGAGTGGGTGCTAATTATCCAATTAGCATAAATTGGTTTCAGGGTAGACGTTTTTAAGTCAGTTTTGGCAATGTCGTCGTCGTTTTCATTTAGAGATTCAAGTTCAAGTTCATTTTATTCACTAAAACCAAGATTGGTACATGGGGTACAAATAACATATATACAATATATATACAAACTGGTCAGAGGTACATAATTTCTATATTACAAAAGGATGATATATGAATAAAATAGGGAAAAAAGTTCGATAAAATGAATGGGAAAGTTTAAAATATGTTCGCGTACCACTGGTGTTCTTTATAATTATAATTTACTGCGACATCATGGCTGTAATTTGTCGGTGTAAGCCGCCGAGAGAGATAACTTAAGTAAGCAATATTGACGGAGTTATTCTTCTTTGTTTTAACTTTGGGAAAAAAAAAACAAAATAGAACTTGGTACCAAAGAAATAACGTCCCCATGAACCAGGAAATATTTGGCTACCCACGAACATTGACCCCCAAAATAAAAATAAAAATGATTCCACAGTAGTCGTTAAAAGGGACTCTCAAGACAGAATCAGGCAGGAAAATGATATTTGTTTCTTTTCAGTAAATATAAATATGTGTTTAATGTCACAAAAATACCGCTATCTGCGATTCGTGTGATGAAAAGTTTTACGAGCAATGGCAAAAAATGAAGTCACAAGTTATCCTTTGTTAGTGAATTGACGGCCTCGCAAATATCATCTCGTTCTTTGTTGATCAATGCAAGCTTTGTTGATAATCTTTTGAGATGTTCTTGGTTTTCAATTATATGTTGACGATTCAAGGAAAGAGCTTGAATAACATCTTGTAATTTTTCTATTCTTTTGGGTACTATGTCACCCGTTATCTTTTCTATTGATTTTTTTATATTATACCCATACACATTTGTAAGTTCTTTACAAATGTACTCGTGTAATGTTTCTATGTAATCTTTGTACATAATTTCTATAAGTGAATATTTTTCATCAGATTTCTTATGAAAAAGTTTAAAAGGACCTGTAAGGGGTGCAATGTCTATTCCAATTCCTGATTGAAAGGCTAAAACAAGGCCAATTACTACAACCGGAATCCACATTGCATATTTTACTACGGTCTCCTCTTCAAAAAATTCCTCTTCCTGTTGCTTATCTAAATGTGTCCATTTTCGTTCCATTTCGGAGAGCTCTGACAACATTTCTTCATAAACATTTTTGATGTCAGCCATAATCAAATCAAATTTTTCCCTAACTTCTGGACTCCTGACGTTTTGATTCACATACATATCCACTCTACTTTGGACTGTTTCCTCCATTTTCTCAGGGTAAGGGGAGTCTATAATAGGAATATGTCTTGGTGGGTTTAAGATTGCATTCATTCCTTCCCCGTTCTTTGCAAATTGAACGATTTCATCAGCAATTTTTGTTATAAGTTCATCTAAGCGATCCCCAAACTGTTTACGCCGCTGATAATGAAAAAAAAAAACATACATAAAAATGAGTTCCATCAATTTAAGGTCAGACGACACGTTCCTCAAATACTGAGTATATTTATTGTATCTATTGGTTGCAAAAATTATTTATCATATATAAATCATTCCCTTCTGATTTTTGCATTGTTTTCAAAATATTTGTGAATATAAGTACACCAAAAATTGTTATATAGGCATTCAGAAAGTTACCAATAAGGGTTATATAAGAAATATGTTCCTGTTTTATCTTCTCCAAATGCCTGGTTAGGTACCCTATTTTTGTGAGGAAATTGTTTAAGTACCTATTCTTCAATGACAAATTCTTACGAAAAATTATATATTTTTGAGGAACCTTAATTTTGAAATATTTGCCCGTGGAAATAGAGAAAAATCAAAGTACTGAAAGAACTCATGGGAGTTGAACATGGAAATCTAAAGATCTCACAGGAAATAGAGGAACATTTTCATGCTTTCAGATTTGAGCCAGCTAGAACTAATTTGTTAGAGATACAACACGAAACATTAAAAATAATTTCAGTTGCATTTGAATAGCGAAGATCATGGGACTGCTTTTAAATTAGCTGCAGAACTGTTGCTTTCCGAAAAAAAAAATATTTTGATAGACCGGAGAGCTATACTGGCACCCATTTTTGCCAGCGCCTACAACGAAATGGGATTTCGGTTTATAATGGCCTCATCAAAAGAGTTCATCTCAAAATGCATCCCGCAGGAACGTGCGACGCAAGGAATCAACACCTTACTTTGAATCTCTAGCGCAAACTATTTTAACAACTGCGCCACTCGAGTGACACTTAGTTTTTGTGATTTTGATTCTACTTATATGTAATTAAAAATCAGACATAGTTAAACTGGCTACCACAAGAAAAAAAAAACACAAGGACCGATATGTTTTCACACATCGATCATTGGGATTATTGTAGCATTGTGTCTGCATATACATGTATTCATTCATTTTTAGTGTTTTAATAATTATTAATTAAAGCCACGCACATTTTTTCAAGTTCAGTTCTACTGAGGAACACGTGACCAACTAAATGCTGATAAATTCATGAAATTAAAAATTAATGTCATTTGAAATCGTGATATCGAATATCAAAAAACTTGAATAGCATTTAGATACTATTATTTTTTCCCTTTACCAACGTAAAAAAAATGAGTTGCATGTATCTGGTCTGACAAAACTTTTTACCAGTCTAACAGATCATTTTACTTGTCAGAACAAAAAAAATTCTGACCGTGATTTTTTTCCGTACTATTTTTTAAACGAAGCGTTGTTCTGTATCTTCATTGCTGAAACAAATTGAAAGAAGTTGTGTAAAGCCTTAGCGTTCCTTTTGACATTACATCGATTTCACAGCTTCTTACTCTGACAGCAGACAAAAGCTCTATTTGAAATAAATACGACCCTTTCCAAAGATTTTCCTAAATTTTGTCATTCCTTTAAATGACATGGCCATCGAACCATTTTCATTTGGTATATAAAGGAGAGAATGAACTAAACTTAAGTATTAAAATGTTTACCATTCAGAATAAACTTTAAACAGCACTGGGGCGAAGTGGAGTCAGCCGAGGATTGTCGATTGATAAATGACAGAAAACTGGGACTATTTTTTTATCCGGAAATCAAATTTATTAGTCATTTCTAGGAGATATGACAAAAATATGCTATTCTTGTTAAGTTAAATAAAATTCAATTTAATTAACGTTCAAATCATTTATGAAAATTAGATTAATTCAGAAAAATGAGATGGACTATTTTTATTGCGGACGTATCTGCAAGTTTGTATAGAATGGTGCGAGTTTATATTAAATATCACAGAGGAGTAGATCGGGCGACACAGAAGCACCACGACAGCCGCTCTATATTTCATTGTAAAATAACTGCGCTAGATATCGCGTGGCGACCATGGGAGATTGAACATAGTTCAACTCCCAATTAATTTAATCATCTCACAAAGTTTAACGTTAACTTTAGGGAAATCTATGCGATAGGATAAATAACTTCTAGTCTGTTCAGTATACAAAAAACTGTTTTAAACCTATAAATAATACATACGAATTACCGTAACTTATACACTGTAAACAAGGTAAAAAAAAATATTTTACAAGATATGTCTGTTTAAATTAATATACATTCAGGCAAGAAGTCAGCAAAATTCAAGTTCCCCTCGAATATGACTAGTTTATGGGGCTTCGTTTTGAGAAAAAGTCCTGGGATCATGAAAGACCTCTCAATAGCAAAGAGCGATATATGGTAAGTGTCTCAATTGGCCCCTTAAAATGAATATCTTAATTGTACTTTATATATAGCTTTAATTTGTACAGCTATATATGCGACCTTTATTGGACATTTTCATTTTGATCAAAATGCCGTTAATTATAAAATATGACATCATAAAAATTACTTTTCCCCACTATTTTAGCATATTTTGTATAAAACTGCTTATTTTCAAGACGTTTTTCTTCCAGAAAATATAGAGCACAGCTTAGAACAAGCTAGATTTATATTTTTACCAAAGATGTATCTATCCAATACTAATTAGTGACAGAAAAATTATGTATGTTCTACACTGCGCTCTAAGTTTTCCATAAGAAAAAATATCAAGAAAAAGGCATATTTTTGGTTTTTTTGTTAGATAGCAAAAATAGCATTATTTTCTCATGTTATTTACAGCTAGTGAGTGCATATAAATGTGAAAAATATATTTGAAATATTTCTAATATAATCTTTTCAACTAAATAAATATCAATTAAACATATGTCATTGAATGTCATTCTAAAATGTTGATTTTTAGGGGGCCAAAATAGGCTCTTATCATATATACTCCTTTTAAATGTGATTTTTTTCAACATATCTAAATTGATAGTGGAATTCTATTTACCTTTACGATGTCACCCTTCAATTTTTCAACTTTCAATTGAGTTTCTTCCAGTGACAAAGTCTGCTCTTCTTCAGTGAGAAAAACACTCTTTAGTCTTGCACGTATGTCGATCTTAATATCATCAAGTAACTTCTGTAAAAAACTTAAGAAAACCATAATAATAATAATAACGTCTGTTTTTTTTAATAAAATAATTAATATTTAGATATAATACTGATTGAATTTTGTTACATGACATTGTATAACAAGTTTTCCCCGTCTTAAAAAAATGACAAGCATTTAAGTCTGTTCTTGTGAATTTCAATTTATAAACATGGTTGAGTTCAAAATTAGGTTTTCCTAAGTTAAAGAGTCAGTATGAGAATGCATATATATATATATATATATATATATATATATATATATATATATATATATATATATATATATATATATATATATGTATGTATTAGCATGACATTTATTCCTTATACTCTATAGGGGGAAAATAACTCGCGGCATTAATATTCGCTATATTCACGGTGTCAATGGATCCGTGAATTCAAGAAACAGTGAATAAGTCTTCAATAGGTATAGATAAAGGAGGGAACTTTTTATCAAATACCAATTCCGCGAATTCGAGAAACAGTGATAGTGTCAAAAAAGAGAAAAACGTGAAAATTACAACCCGTGAAGTTAATTCCCTATACAGTTTTTCAATTTAATTGTAGATAAAAGTAATTCAGATTTTAATAAGGGCACGGGTATGCGGGGAATCCCCTCGCGGGTGTATTTCATAATATACAATCATAATTTATTTTAATTTTCATAAAATCATTTTGAAAGCTCAATTTCCAATTAAAGTCGAAGTGCGTAGTATCTTGGCGGGGTGGGGTTGGGTTGACATGAAAACAAAATTGGACAATTTCCCCTTAATCGTAGCAGAAACATGTCACGTATGCTCTAAGTTTCATTATTAACCCACCTAGGTATATCTCATAGGTACATGTATTATGTAGAAAATCTAAAAATGCCTGCAGAAGCAAACTCTTTCTTTTTTTTTAAATGAAAAATAACAATATACATGTACCAGTGTTGAAAGATCAATGAAAATATAGCTTTCAGAAATTAATTACGCTTCAAGAATAAATTCCATATCGTAAACAAAAACATTTGAAAAGTTTGTAATAAAACCGCAAAGTTCATCAAATTATTTCAATTACTCAACGTAAATTATACACAAAGTACATAGAATTTAAGTGTTTGAAGATTGTTACAATGCGAAACATAGACTAGACTTATTACATTTTGCGTTATTGCATTTTGCGTTCAGCACTTGGTAGTAACAATATCAACGCAAAATGTAATAGCGCAAAATGTAAAAACACTATTATTTGATTGTTGCGCCCAAAAGTAATAACACTATTATTTGATTGTTGCATTCTGCGTTCTTACATTTTGCGTCATGATCAACGCAAAATGTAATAACGTCCTCGTCTTCGTTGCTACATTTTGCGTTATTTAATTTTTTGCGCTGAAACTAAAGCCAAATGTAATAAAACAATATGTAATAAAACAAAATATATTTTTTTATTCATAAAATTGATTAGAATATATAACAATGGTAGAGCTCGCTATAAAATACCATAGTAAGAGCTATAGCAGTGAGGCCAACGTTACGGCTTTTACGGGCATTACTGATCTACATGTATCTTTTTTTAACACTGAGTTTGTATCTTACATTTTTATTGAATACACCGTATTTCTGAAGCAATAACTTAATTTTGATTGACATGTTTTCTCCTATATTAGTCTGAATTAAATATATATCACAAATGATATTTCTAATGACCAAGGCTTGACAATTTGTTTAATAATTAAAAGCCCTTGATATGCACGTACGACAAGTGTACATTGATAAGCAGAAGTGTATATGTATGTGTCCTGAAAGGAGGATCAGGGATGGGGTTGGGGGTTTACTTCGTATGTTGATCATTTTAAAATTAGAGAGATTTTTCCTTGTCTGTAATGCACGTGATTTGTAAAAATCGTACGGAATCATAATTATCAATAAAACCCCTCCCAGTTGTATACTTCAACCTGTCATGATCAGTAGAAATTAATAGAAATGTAGATTCATTACATTGGTCTATCAAAAAGCAAAAACACACTGGTTAACATCTTTCCTGGCCCAGTGGTTCTATAGAAGAAGATTTTTAAAGATTTTTCCTATATATTGCTATGTAAAACTTTGGTCGGCCATTTTGGCCCCACCCTAGCCCCGGGGGTCATGATTTGAACAAACTTGAATCTACACTACCTGAGGATGATTCCACACGAGTTTCATCTTTCCTGGCCCAGTGGTTCTTAAGAAGAAGATTTTTAAAGATTTTTCCTATATATTCCTATGTAAAACTTTGGTCAGCCATTTTGGCCCCACCCTAGCCCCGGGGGTCATGATTCGTACAAACTTGAATCTACACTACCTGAGGATGATTCCACATGAGTTTCATCTTTCCTGGCCCAGTGGTTCTTAAGAAGAAGATTTTTAAAGATTTTTCCTATATATTCCTATGTAAAACTTTGGTCGGCCATTTTGGCCCCACCCTAGCCCCGGGGGTCATGATTCGAACAAACTTGAATCTACACTACCTGAGGATAATTCCACATGAGTTTCATTTTTCCTGGCCCAGTGGTTCTTGAGAAGAAGATTTTTTAAAAATGCTATTAATTTTTCACTAATTCATAATTATCTCCCCTTGGAAGAGGGCGTGGCCCTTCATTTGAACAATCTTGAATCCCCTTCACCCAGGGATACTTTGTGCCAAGTTTGGTTGAAATTGGCCCAGTGGTTCTTGAGAAGAAGATGAAAATGTGAAAAGTTTACGACAACGACAACGACGACAACAACGACAACGATAACGACAACGACAGACGACGGACAAATTTTGATCAGAAAAGCTCACTTGAGCCTTCGGCTCAGGTGAGCTAAAAAGAAGAAATATTACGTGACGTACGAGGGTTGTCCGTAAAGTTCGTGGACAAGCTGAGAATTAAATAAATAATGCGTCATTGATATTTATTATTAGCATATTTCTAATCCTTTACTAAATGTGAACTGAGAAATGTAAGATCTATTTCAATTTCAAACTTTTAATTACAATTATGACTTCATAATTAGACTTAGTATGGAGACCCGGAGCATCACAAAATTTTCATTAATAAATTATTCATCACGTTATCAATTTCATTTGTATTTTATAAAATTCTGCAGAAATCTGGATAATAATAATAATAATAAATTCTTTTATTAAGACATGATAGCACAAATAGTACATATGACTAGTTTACCTTGTGGTCCTGTATAAAACATATTTACAGACAGATATGAAAAAAAAGAAAAGAAACTAGAGTAAAAAAAGAATATATACATAGCATGTTAATTATATCAGAAATATTTGAACATACGAGGGGTGTTAGAAAAGTTCTATTGTGAGCACGCTATTTCCACAAAACCGGTCAAACTTTCCAGATAAAATCTTTGCCTTTTTTCCAATAAATATACAAAAATTTGGTGCTCTTGGGTGATTATTGAAAAATATACAGCATTTTTATTTTGATAAAACTTGCTTCATGGAGCATGCTACATTTTGGCACGTTTACATCACAAAGACTCTTTATTAAAGCTAAAAATTGCACAACTGTAGCGCAAAGAGATTTATGATATTTTACCTGCCGCTAAAGAATGCAGGAAACGTGACTGGGAGAAATTTTGAACTAAATTGGATGGTATATGACTGTTTTATAGCCGTTTATAAATGATCAACGCGTAAAAAGACGTCGGAACGTCATTGAGCGTCATGGAGCAATGCACTACGTAACCAGAAGTCTCTGTCGAGACTGTAGCTCTACTGATTTGTACTTATAACAAAGGATGAGAAAAGAAGCCATTGCCATCAGACCAAAACTGTAGGATGACTAGCGTTTTAAAGGAATTTCAAAGAAAATTCAATTTTTAGTAACCATGGCAACACCGTTCATCGAAATTAAAATCCAATGCACTATTTTATGTATCTTAGTGTAATCTACTTGTGTGCCAAGTAATATTGAAATCAAATCAAAACTGTAGGAGGAGTAGCATTTTAAAGACATTTCAAAGAAAATTCTATTTTTAGTAACCATGGCGACAACGTTCATCAAAATCAAAAACAAATGCACTATTTCATGTATCTTAGTGTAGTCTACTTGTGTGTTACGTAATATTGAAATCAGACCAAAACTGTAGAAGGAGTAGCATTTTAAAGGAATTTCACAGAAAATTCTATTTTTAGTAACCAAGGCAACACCGTTCATCGAAATCAAAAACCAATGCACTATTTAATGTATCTTAGTGAAGTCTACTTGTGTGTTAAGTAATATTGAAATCAAATCAAAACTGTAGGAGGAGTAGCGTTTTAAAGGAATTTCAAAGAAAATTCTATTTTTAGTAACCATGGCAACACCGTTCATTGAAATCAAAAACCGATGCACTATTTTATGTATCTTAGTGTAGTCTACTTGTGTGCCAAGTAATATTGAAATCGGACCAAAACTGTAGGAGGAGTAGCGTTTTAAAGGAATTTCAAAGGAAATTCTATTTTTAGTAACCATGGCAACACCGTTCATTGAAATCAAAAACCGATGCACTATTTTATGTATCTTAGTGTAGTCTACTTGTGTGCCAAGTAATATTGAAATCGGACCAAAACTGTAGGAGGAGTAGCATTTTAAAGAAATTTCAAAGAAAATTCTATTTTTAGTAACCATGGCAACACCGTTCATCGAAATCAAAAACCGATGCACTATTTTATGTATCTTAGTGTAGTCCACTTGTGTGCCAAGTAATATTGAAATCAGACCAAAACTGTAGGAGGAGTAGCGTTTTAAAGGAATTTCAAAGAAAATTCTATTTTTAGTAACCATGGCAACACCGTTCATCGAAATCAAATGCCGATGCACTATTTTATGTATCTTAGTGTAGTCTACTTGTGTGCCAAGTTATATTGAAATCAGACAAAAACTGTAGGAGGAGTAGCGTTTTGAAAAATTGTTTACAGACAGACGGACAGCTAGACAGACAGACAGACAGACAGACGGACAGACAGACGGACGGACGACGGACACCTTACTATCGCATAAGCTCTTCTGGTCTCTGACCAGTAGAGCTAAAAATTATGTGTGCAGACAGGAAAATGTCTAAAAAGAGATTAAAATGTTCAAGATACTGCCAAGAATTTCCTACACATACAAAGAACAAGTTTTCAAAGGTTATTGCTTCGTAAGAATGGAAGGGGGACATTTTGAATGATTAACTCCATCGATACTTCAATACCCCCTTATCGCATGGACGTTGCGTTGCGCCTATATGGTTTTGCATAGTTTCCATACCTGATCGATTAACTGCATAGACTTTTTTATATTTTAAGATCTCAATAATATACGAATCAGTACAAAAGACATTATAGTAGAAAAGTAACATGACTTGATATAGATATTCAATTTTAAAGTAGAAATGAAAGATTTATAAATATAACTGCGACAAAGCTTAACTGGATGAAATCTGGTAGTCACGTCGCTTACGTCTAATGATTGCTCCATAAATCCTATGACCCCATACTAAAAATAGTTGTAAGATTTTAAGATTTTATTATATGGACCTGACTTTTTACAGACCAATAAACAAAATGTAGGAATTCATTCAGACATGGGTCATACTTCATAGTACACAATTGATTTTCCGTAATTCAATGTGTCTGCCAACTTTTCTAACAACCCCCGTACAAATAAATAAACTACTAGTGTTAAATATTATGCCAGAAGAACACCTGTTCAAATTATAATTTTGCAAATATGCAGATTTAAAAGAAGCTAAAGAATTACAATTTCTAACAGTGTCAGGCAACTGGTTCCATAAAATTGCAGTTGAAAGTTGATGACTTTTACATTATGAGGTTGACGGATGTTATCACTTCAAACCTTCAAAAATTAAACATTCGGAGTTGTAAAATGGCTGAGCAATGAAAGTTAGAACATATTAAGAAAGATCAGAATTGTTAAAAAAAAAAAAGGACGTTTCCGGAATAAGTGGAGCAGTGGGCAGTGATAAAATTCTGCGTAGTCATCGGATAAACACCGACAGAGACTAATATATTTTGTAAACAATCAAAGAAAACAGTAAAAAAAAAAGCCGTACATTAGTATTTAAGAGCCATATAATATTTTCGGACCGAAGGGACAGTTTACAGGATGACATGCGTGAAGGAAAACTATGCTTTCGAGATTGCAGTGCTATAAAAATGAATTTCATAACGTGACTTTACTGCATTTCCGTAAATAAAATCGTTTTTACGCGGAAGAGGTTGGATGATTGCAGGATATGAGACAGGCATTGTTAAATATTATTTCACGTATGAAACCTGAACATTTTGTGCACATTTTTATGACTCGTTAAAGCGACATACGAAATGTATTGAGCTAAAAGGTGACTATATTGAGAAAAGTTACTTGTACTCATATTGCTTTTGAAATCTGATAAAAATATAACTGTTTGTGCTTTGTTTTTGTTGAAAACTTGCATGTTAATAAAATGAAACATGAACTTAATGAAAATAATAGCTTCATAAATTTTATAAATGTTTGTCAGTAATTATCAATGTTGTCCACGAACTTTACGGACAACCCTCGTACTTTCATCTAATGGAAACTACGAAAATAATCTTCTAATATAATTTTTCGGCATAGTATGCTTACGTAATATAAATACTTAGAACACTATGCGATATTATTATGCTTCCTGTCAGTTTGTCTCTATAGAACCCATACCCCAATACTCTCGCATAGTGGTCAAAGGATTTATATAGCGTAAACATGCTAGGCCCAAAATAGTGCACGGCTTTATTTACTGAATAAAATTCTTCAATGCACATGCCAGGGAACGAACTCACGACCATGAGATTGTCAGTCCGATGCCTTATCGATCACTGTTTGGTGGCATTTTATTAGATATATAAACTTAATTTATACAATTGACACAAAAAGGAAAAAATAGACAAATATTATTTGAAAACAGTTATATTATTCTAAGGAACCTAAGATTAATGTATACAAAAGTTTCAAACTAATTACATACAAATCGTTAGATGAACTGATTTCATAGGGTTATTAAAACGCTTTTTATATGACGCTTGATTGAAGGATGTAAAAGAAAATTATCAATGGGAATAGACATCTGCAAACAAAGAAGTCTTACTAACAAAACAGTAAATAAAGATGAGTTGCTTTGGGACAGAAAATCCTGATTTATTTAGAGAAAATACTAGTTCCCAAAATAATTAAGCATGCAACCAATTTCATCATGAAGATTTTGAATGAAATCTTGCAAGTGCGCTGTGTTAGCACCGATATTTTCAGGAAAAATGATATTTGGATTGCCGCATAAATAATTACAACAGTCAGCATAATAATGGCACCATGTGTCAAACCTTGCCTACTATTTAGGCATTTTACATGCATAATGCAACACTATTATATAAATAGTTGGATATAGGTTAAGTAGAGACAAACTGACAGGAAGCATAATAATACATTTTGCAATCTTGAGATTGCAATACTTGTATTGAAAATACCGTCAAGCTGTGGTCACAAAACTGGGACTATGTCAAATTCACTAAGAATGGTTGTATAAAAAGATGAAAAGTGTGATGTTTTTATGACATACTTTTTTGAAAATTTTGGCAATTTAAAATTTCTAACAGAGCTTTTGAGTATTTGAAAATCCACGTGAGATTGACACCAGTTTTAGAATATGGTGTCGCACAGTACGTCATAATTTTCTCTTTTAACAGCAAATAATATTTTTGTAAAGAGTAAAAATGGGGATATGATTAAGAGCTTGCTAGACACCGCAATGTGTCATTCTTTGTACGGATTTTTTTCATGAAGTTTAGGAATCTAGTTTTGGTAGGGTAGATGTTTTGATATATGTCGCTTTGCACTTAGTACAGGATGCATAAGAAATTGTATAGGATGCAAAAGAAAATTATAGTTCATATAAAAAATAAATAAAATATTAGAACCATTTGTATGAAATTACAGGATTATTTTGGTTATACAAATAGCACATGCTTGTTGGAATCACACGCTCAATTGCTTTGACAAAGTCTATTTTTTGACTTAGTGTTGGATAAAAGAATTAAAAATTTCGGCAAGGGCTATGGACTTGTCAAAACTAAGACGATTGTTTTTGCTCTAGCTGAAGATTTTTAAATATCATACAATATTCTTTTTGAGTCGAATTCGTAATGTCGTAAATAGCATAAAAAATCTATGAGGCCATTCTTTAAATATTGAACAAGCTGTATTCTCATTCATTTCATATCCCACTTTGACATTGGTTTTGTATTCGCTTGCCTCTTTTTCGGTTACTCTCTAGACATAAGTCCAAACGTACATGTACTTGTGAAGCATGACTAGGATGGTTTAGGTCATCGATCATTAATTGAACAAAATGAAATCAACTCAACATCAAAAGGACACAAAGTTTAAATATCGAAACTATTCTTAAGTTTTTTGATAAAAATATACTTTTTATTCCTGTTGCAAAAGGATATGATTTTCAGAAATTTTACGAAAGAATATGTCTAGTTTAAAATGACAAAGTGTCCCTAATGAAGAAGTGCAAATTACAAAATGGACAGCTGGATCATCTCAGAAGCTTACTTGAGCCTACAATACAGGGGACTAATATAGATTTTTAATTATTGATAAGGATTGATTAACTTTTTATTAAATGTATAACATTTGAAACTTAGTAACTTGTACCGCAATCTTTTCAAACTTGTTATAAACGAGCAATTGTTTTTGTTAGCAAAATGAGTTTTTTCTACGATTTAGCAATTGCATCAAGTAGCTATTATTGAAACATTTCAATTCTGGTAAATGACAGCATAATTATTGTCAATTTCCAATTAGAAGTTGTAATTATCTTTACTACACTCTCCCGTGGGGATCCGGGTTAGAATAGGTCCTCAGTACCCCTTGCTTGTCGTAAAAGGCGACTAAATGGGGCGGTCCTTCGGATGAGACCGTATAAACCGAGGCCCCCTGTCACAGCAGGAGTGGCACGATAAAGATCCCTCCATATCAGTGAAATATTCTGGAGAGGGACGTTAAATAGTATACAATCAATCAATCTTTACTACACAGATACCTTTCTGATGGAAATAATGACAAAAACCTAATGTTATAATGTTTATTCCAATGAAAGGAAAGATAATTAAAATGAGATAATAAAAAGAATGTAAGATCTTACTTGAAATGATGTTTTACTCTTATGTTTTCGTTTTCTTTAATAACGTTATCTAAGGTTTCCTGGATCTCCTTAAATGTACCAACATCATCTGATATTCCTTTCTTCACCTGTAAGTGACAACATTAATTTCTTTCTTTACGTCAAGAACTATCATTATTCTCAAGTATTTTTCCTTAACTGTATTCATCCTATATGCAGGATGAATACAGTTATCCTGTATTCAAAAAGGATACACACATAGGAAATAATAAGAGGAACGACAAAGATTGCAGCTGATACACAATAAATTAATATTACATTTAGAAGACTTAGTTGAAAAATGTTTTCCTCTTTTACGTCAGGCCAGTTTCTCTTTATGCTCGTTTTTACATGTCTCCAGGTACGTGTCCTTATATCCTCCTCTCCATCTTCGTGAGTACCTTGAAGTGCATCCCATTTGTTTGTAATGAAAATAACGCCTTTTGGGTCAAAACAAGGCATTTCGTCAGCAATTTGTAGATCGAAGATTGATCTCATTATCGTTGGAAGCTGCACAAAAGAAATCTTAAAATTACTTTGAAGCTAGACAAGCTCTAAAAGTTAGTACTCCTTTAAAATCAGCAGAAGATTGTTTTATTTTTGCATCAAAATACTGTTAAAGATAATTTCATAAATACATTAAATGATGAAAAGAAAAGTTTGAAACAGACAGGGTGGTGTCACTTACGTTCTATTT